GTTTGGTAGAAAGCCTGGGGTTTAGTTTGGTAGAAAGCCTGGAGTTTGGCAGAAACAAACTAAGAAACAAAAATAATAAATAAAGGAAGAAGTGGAGGAAGAGGAAGCAGCCTGTCAGAAGTAGGTCATCTTCTCTCCCAGCACAACAACTAAACAACTACAGACTGAATCCATGTTTTTGTCTCCTGTAAGCCTTTGTCTCCTCCTGATGTGTCTCTGTCCTCCTTGTCTCTGTTGAACACCACTGTCCCTGCTGGATTTAAAGGCATCTACTCAGCGGGGTCCAGACTAAAATCTGTCAACTTCTCAGAACCTGACAAAAGCTTCTGATGAATAAGTGATCGTAGACTGTGTCCTCGTTTCCTCGTCTCCTCCACTTACACTGACTCCTTCTCTCTCCGTCTGTTTTTTTATTGCGTCTCGTCATCTGAAGATCACAGGAGAGAATTCCCTCTGAAGTTTCAGCACACAGTTCAGTCATTCACACAGTTTGAAGCTTCTCTGTGTCAGTTTCCTCTGAATCAGCTGACAGGTTAAAATGAAAAGATGTTTATTAATAAACACAAACAGAAAAGCAAACARGTCCTGATCCAGAACTCATTTCTTCAGCTGTGGTTTCCAGAGGTCTGGACGTCCTGATGATCTTCTTTGGTCTGGTTCAGTCCAGTTTTGGACCTTTGGGAGAACCACCTAACAGACGTCTCAGTCTTTGTTGGCAGCAGTTTGTCACAGACACATGTGTCTTCAGCTGATAAAAACAGTTTGACAGAAACATRGTGATTCCTGCTGTCAGCCTCTCACTACCTTTTCTTTCATCATTTCTCATCTCCTCTTTGGGATTTATTTGTTCTTAAATCTCCATCCTTCCTGTCCGTCCACTCTCTGACCTCCAAACGGATGTAAACCYGTCTCCTTGTCTCATTCTTGCCGTGTTTCGGCGCTCCACATAAATCTGCTGCGTTTATTGCTCCGGTCCTGAGCTGTGAACGGGCCGGACTCACAGGGAGTGATAAAGACGACGAGCAGATCCTCTGGATGCTGTTTCCTGACATCAGAGGAGCTGCCGGCTGTAATGAGGCCCGGGTCCATCACACCAGAAATCATGTGCTGACAGAAGCATGCAGGAGTTCTGAGACGTGTCTGCTTCCATTTGTCTCCTGATGTTTGGTTTATCTTTGTTGGACTGCGGTGGAGTCGGACATGTTTTACACTTCTGACTGTCAGCTGCAGGAAGGGAAGAGGAAAGACACTCTGCAGGCTTTACCTTTAGTTTTATGTAGAGGTGAGGCTGCTGTTTTATTCCTTTCATTAAACACATTACAGAAACACTAAATACACCAGAGGGATGGTTTTATTTCTGTTTGAAGGAAAAAACAGGTGAATTCTTGGTCTGACTGTTCTCAGTGAATGTGTTTGTGTGCAGACAGGACCTATAACGGTCCTGAATGTTTCCCCACAGCAGAAAGAAAACATTTCGCCTCTTCTCTGTTTTCTGCAACTCCAAACTGCTTGAATTTGCTTTTTAAGGGAAATTTCTGTATTTCCCGTCACCGTCAGCGCCCAACTTCCCTGCAGAGAGTTCATGAATGTTTCATCTGACTTCTGTTGGTTTCTGTGTTTTTCCTCTGGTTGACAAAGCCCTCCCAACTCAGGCAGAGTTTAATCCCAGGAAGAGACGGCGAGCGCCTGCATCAGCTGTTAGTGCCTGCATCAACCCAACACCGCCGGCAGCAACGTCTGGCAGATTCAGGTCATCCCACAACAACCTGCGCAGGTACGCACTGCAAACTCCAACTGAGGGGGGGAACTTCACACCAACACGTGCTCGTCTTCCACCGGGCAGGAACGTTGGTTTGATRTTTTCTTTTCTTTAGAGCAGCGGAATCGTCCAATCAGAGACGGCCTTTGAGCTGAAGCTGAAATCAGACCCGTCAACAGAAACAAACCCTCACAYCGTGTGTGATTCATGCTGATTTCATCTTTAATAAAAGGAGAAGTGACGTGACTCAGACCCAGAAGCAGCAGGGGATCCAGTCTGAGTCCGCTGAAAAGATGAACACAAAACTGATGAATTCAAGCTGCTCTCTTTGTGCCGTTTGGACTTTTTTCTGCTTGTTAAACACATTTATGGAGGCTGAGAGAGAGAGGACGACTGCAGTTTATTAAAACCTGCAAACAGACAAGGAACCAGCAGAAAACACCAACAACATGTCTGTTTTTAACACGATGAAACTGCAGGAGAGGTAAACCTGTCACTGCCTGAAGGAATGCATGTCGCCCACCAAACAACAAACTTCACAGCTCTGACTGAACAGAGACCTGAGCAGAGGACGTGCACACACCTGTAGTTTTGTGCACGTGGTTATTMAAACAGCCCAGTATTTCTGAGGATTAGCACCAGAAACACCAGCATGCTAGTGAACAAATATTAATTTCTTCTTGTGCCACACACGAGGCGACGGCTGCAGCAGCTCCTCTCAGGATTTATTTCACTGGGACCAGGAGGAGGAGGAGGAGGAGGATGCGTCTCATCTGGATGTTCAATAATTCAACACAGCAGCGTCCACATGAAGGCGAGCGAGGAGCGGCAGCTCTCTGATGTCCGAGTGAAGCGCTGCGACTCTGCGAGGCGTCACATTTCCAACTCACCCAGATGAACCTAAAGGCCCCAGAAACTGGGTTTACTGATGAAAAACACCGAGCCAGACATGAGACGAGTCCCATTTTACCACAGAGACGGGTCCATTTCCACCACCGAGACGAGTCCTGGTCCTGTTTTACCAACGGGACAAGTCCTGGTCCCGTTTTACCAATGAGACGAGTCCATTTCCACCAACGAGACGAGTCCTGGTCCCGTTTTACCACAGAGACGAGTCCTATTTTACCAACGAGACGAGTCCTGGTCCTATTTTACCAACGAGACGAGTCCTGGTCCTGTTTTACCAATGAGACGAGTCCATTTCCACCAACGTGACGAGTCCTGGTCACGTTTTACCACAGAGACGAGTCCTATTTTACCAACGAGACGAGTCCTGGTCCCGTTTTACCAACGAGACGAGTCCTGGTCCTATTTTACCAACGAGACGAGCCCTGGTCCCGTTTTACCAACGAGACGAGTCCTGGTCCTATTTTACCAACGAGACGAGTCCTGGTCCTGTTTTACCAACGAGACGAGTCCTGGTCCCGTTTTACCAACGAGACGAGTCCTGGTCCCGTTTTACCAACGAGACGAGTCCTGGTCCCGTTTTACCAACGAGACGAGTCCTGGTCCTGTTTCACCAACGAGACGAGTCCTGGTCCTGTTTCACCAACGAGACGAATCCTGGTCCTGTTTCACCAACGAGACGAGTCCTGGTTCTGTTTCACCAACGA